CAGGCGGGTCTGCGGCTCCCACGACACCTGCCCCTTCCTCCCAAGCACAGGACGAGGGGATCCTGTCCTCGGGCAGACGGGGCGCGGTGAGAGGTAAGGCGCCCGGCAGGCGGGTGGCGGGAGCGAGAAGGGGCCCCTTCCAGGCCTGCAGGTTTCCCGGGGCTCCCCCACCCTCACCTCCAGTCTTGGAGTCGCGGGGGTGGACTCCCTCCGCCTTCCCCTTATTCACCAGCATTTATTAGCACCGGCCGTGTGCCTGCCCTCGTGGCCTTTAGCCTAAGATCACCCAGCCCTCACTGCAAGCCTCCGAAGTGGGATCTCATCCTCAGCAATGGTTATGCGCGCCCCAGTTAGCACGGGTGAGCCCAGGGGCCGGTCAGCTCTCCTCAGATGGGGAAGCCAGGGCTCAGAGGGGGCAGTATCCCGCCCAAGGCCACACGGCGAAGAGGGGTGGGGACAGGACCGAGTCGGGGCTTCTTGACCTGCCCGTGTGTTGTGCCCTCCCAAGCTCCCTGCTGAGCGCGGCTTCCCCTCTGCCCACAGGTCCTGCCCGATAAGCTCTAGGGGCTCGGGCTGCCTTCCCTCCCACGTGGAGACCCAGGGGCTACCTTTACCCCACTTCAGGGCACCCGAGCACCCTCAGCCGGAGTTGGGGCCGGCACCCTGAGCTCCAGCCGCCGCAACAGCTCTGATCCCCATGGGAGGCCACCCTTGGGTGCACCCCCCGGGTGTGTGTGTGTGAAGGTTGGTTGAGCTGCCGGGAACTCCTGCCAGGGTGGGGGAGTGAGAAGGGGAGTCACCACTCCTCCCCGCCCAGGGCCCTTCCCAAAGAGTCCTCTAAATAAAGAGCTACGTAGGTGCTCTGTTTGTGCAGGTGAGTTTGGGGCCAGATCGGCCTGGAGTGGGGGCTGTGAGGCTGGGAGGAGGCGTGGGCACCCCAACGACTCTCCAGGATTGGACTCTCTGCCTCTTGGAATTTCAGACTCCAAGATCTGCAGTGTCCAGTCTGGCCTGCTTGGAGGGTGTGATTCACAACACTGGCTTCTGGGAAGGGTGGGACCCCTTCCAGGGCACGTGGTCCCCAGCACCCCAGGACACAGAGATGGTCAAGTGGCAGCAGAGGAAGAGTTCTTTATTGCAGGAGGTGCCTTGCCTGGGAGGAAGGTCAGCAGCCCAGCAGGGCACAGCCCCGGCCAGCTGGCGGTCAGGGCTGGGCTAGGCGCCATCCACCCCATCTCCCATCGTCCTCGGCGCATCCCTGGGGAGCCGCCATCACTCGGCAGATTCCGCATCAAACCTGAGGTCCTGGAGAACCTCGCTGATCGCCTCCATGGTTTTAATTACCCTACGAGAGCGGATGGGAACTATAAATAAAACCCAGATGGGGCGAATTAGCCGCCGCTGCGCAGCGCCAAGGGGGCTGTGGCTAGCCCCAGGCCCTCCTGCCTGCCGCCAGACCTTGAGGCGGCTCTGGTGGTGGGAAGGACCACTCGGGTGCTTGGGAGAAGGGGCGGCCCTAGAGCGCAGGGTGGGCTGAAAGGAGAGGCCATCTCGGCGGAGCGCGTGCTGTCAGGAGGTTATGCTCCGGGATCGTGGTGGCGAAAGTCGTGTGTGTGGGCCAGTGTGTTTCTGGGGCTTGAGGACAGGAATGTGCATGTGCCCGAGGAGATCATGGGCAGCCATGTCCAGGCTCTGGGGACAGCCGTGTCTACCAGGGTTGGGGGTGTGCAGCAGTGTCCTGGCAGTGCACAGTGAATTTCAGATGTGAAACTACATGGCCGTGCTGAGCCCTGCGGGGAATGGGCACAGCTGAGGCCACCAGGTGAGGACGCCAGTGTGTACAACCTCGGCATTGTATGCTGTCCCAGAGGGCACATGTGTGTGCAAATCTAGCACGCTTGTAACTGTGTGCAGGGCTCACTTCATCTTCAGCTGGTATGTCTGTACAGTGTCCTGGTCCCTCAGTTCTGGTGTCTCCATTAGCTGCAGCAGGGCCACCTGGTGGGCGCATGGACAACCGGGAGGGTGTTACGAGGGGCAGAAGCTGTCCCCTGCCCTCCCATGCTGTTCAAGGAGGAAGAGGCACTGAGACATGCAGGCAGCACAGGACTAGGGCCTTGAGGGGCAGTGCTTTGTGTGGGAGTGGTCTGGAACTCAGTTTAGAGGGGCTCTGGAGGACGCCCCCCCACCCAGAGGGACTGGGTGTGGTCCAGAAACAGCAACAGAATCTCCACCCTCTGGCAACAGGGGTGGGGTGGGTGGGCTAGGATGCATAGTCCCAGGGATGGGGCAGGGCATTATAATCCCAGGTTAAAAGTAGGTCGAATGGCTGGGCACAGTGGCTCACCCCTGTAATCCCAGCACTTGGGAAGGCTGAGGCAGGAGGATCGCTTGAGCCAGGAGTTTGAGAACTGCCTGGGCAACAGCAAAACCTCATCTCTACAAAAAAATAATTAGTCAGGTGTGGAGGCACACACCTGCAGTCTCAGCACCTCGGGATACTGAGGTGGAAACTGCCATGAGCCATGATTGTCATGATCATGCCACTGCACTCCAGCCTGGGTGACAAAGTGAGACGCTGACTCAAAGAAAAAAAGCCAAAAATTGGCCAGATGTGGTGGCTCATGTCTGTAATCCCCGCATTTTGGGAGGCCAAAGCGAAGACTGCTTGAGCCCAGGAGCTCATGACCAGCCGGGGCAACACAGTGAGACCTTGTCTCTATAAAAATCATTTTTAAAATTAAAAAAATAAAAATAAGCCTGGTGTGGGGCTTATGCCCATAACCCCAGCGGAGGTGGAGGCAAGAGGATTGCCTGAATTCAGGGGTTTCAGACCAGCCTGGGCAACTTGGCCAGACCTCATCTCTACAATAAATCAAAAAATTTGCCAGGCGTGGTGGTACACGTCTGTGGTTCCAGCTACCTGGAAGGCTGAGACAGAAAGATCACCTGAGCCCAGCAGGTCTAGGCAGCACTGGCCGTGAGTGTGCTACTGTGCTCCAGACTGAGTGACAAAGTAAGACACTGATTCAAAAATTAAAAAAATTAAAGGGCCAGAAATTTAGGTTGGGATTGGGGTCGTTCAGGGAGCATGGCAGGGGCATCCCATCGGAGGGGCTCCTTGCGGACATGAGCCCCGGCAGGCCAGGACTGGTTGTAGGGGCCAAGTGGGTGCGGCATTGGGGCGGGAGGGGGCATGGGGGCATGGCCTGAAAACCTCCCGCCTTTGTCTGCGAGGGGTTGAGGTCGCGATCAGAGACCCTGAACGGCTGGAGGGGTGGAGCGTTCGGAGGGCGGGGCCCGCACATCCTGGAACAGCGTTGGGGGGGGCTAGGATAAGGTGGGCGTACCCTAGGAATAAGTTCAAAAATCTCGAACACGAAAACCGGGGTGGACCAGAGAGGGTAGGGCCCGAGAATCACCAGGTGAAGCCTTAGCGGAGGGAGGACTGACGTGGTACGGGGGGGTGAAGTCTAGAAGACCCAGGCCTGCTGCCCCTT